AGGGAGCGGCCCTCCCCGGGCGGAGAGGCGCCGGCAAGAACCTGGTTGGCGTCCGCCTCCCCAGCGCCATCTGCCAGCCGCGCGCCAAACGTGGAGGGAGCGGGCTTTCGGGGCCACCCGGAGCATCCCCAGCCGCGTTTGCGTCACACTCGGGGACCCTACCGGACCACCACCCCCCGGCACCCTTCTGCAATGAGGGCTCTTGCTAAAATTGCTGGGACGATTGCATCTTTAGGGGGTGTTTTCAAGCCATTCCTCCTGATCAGAAGTTGCTTCGGGAGCAGAAAAAGAAAGCATGAAAGCAAACATATTTTAAAGGAACTTTGTTCTGCTGCTTCAGACCGACAGGGCTACCCGCCTGAATCTGATCCAGGTGCCTATTTCATACAGATATTTTAATATCCCCCACCCCTTCTTCTCCAGTGAATGGAAACTCGGAAATGAAGCATGTTAGCACTGAACGCTGGGTGCACTGAACACTGGAAGACCCAGATACTTCCTAATGAAAAAAGAATGGCTATTGAAAGTTTATGATACTCTGTGACTTTTTGGGAATATAGAGTACACGGAAGATAATTGGATTTAGTGGTAGAGTAATGCATACAATAGTGTGGTTTGTTAGTTAGAAATCAGTGTGTTTCAGCTGATTTTGAAACTGAATATGGTTTTGCGATTTGAATTTGAGTAGTGATATTAAAATGGATAATACATGACTTTCAAAAATAAAATTTAAGAAGGGGGGGAATGGACATGACCGTTAACCCCTCGCTTTGTCACCAGCTCCTGATGCTGAAGGGTAGCCTGCTGCTGAAGATGGAGGTTCTAAAGCTATTGGGGCAGATCTTAGACGTGTCCAGGGTGAATTGGTCTCAAAGGGGGCTTCTTGTTTAAGAAATAAGACCAACTGACCGTGGACATGTCTATGATCTGCCCCAGTAGCTTTGGAACCTCCATCTTCAGCAGCAGGCTACCCTTCAGCATCAGGAGCTGGTGACACAATAAAGGTTCTTGGGAAGGACTTCTGCCACAGGAGAGCCAAGTTCCCTAAAACTAGTCCCCTACAACGGCTGCTAGGAGCTGCGGTGGCTCAAGTGGTTAAGACGCTGAACTGCAGGCTGTGGAAGGTCAATAGTTCAGCAGTTCGAGACCCAGGTTGCCGCATGACAGAGTGAGCTCCCGTCTCTAGTTCTAGCTCCTGCCAACCTAGCAGTTCGAAAGCAAGAAATTGCAAGTAGATAAATAGGTACCACTTCGGTGGGAAGGTAACAGCGTTCCGTGCGCCTTGGTGTTTAGTCATGCCAGCCACATGACCACGGAAACATCTTCGGACAGCGCTGGCTCTTCGGCTTTGAAACGGAGATGGACTCGACTGGCTTTCGAGCAAGGGAACCTTTACGTTTACCTTACAACGGCTGCTATTCATTTCGTGCCAGTTTTCAGACAGGGGGCCTCTTCATCCCAACCCTTCCGTTTGCAAATAATTTCCTCCCCTCCCACAGCAAACCCGAACGCAGGGCTTCTTTGGATTTAAGAGTTCGGCTTGGCTTCTTTTTGGCCCTGTGTGCTGTGCTGACCACTGGCACCTGGTATGGCTGGCTCCTCCATCTTTGCCGCACTCCTGCCTCAACCTCAAATTACTTCTTGGCCCCGAAGGTCAAGTTGTTATTTCTAGATCCAGGATGGGCGCAGAGATTCCAGCCAGGTAATTTGAGCTGGGGACTCACAAGCTCCTTGCTGGGGAAGGTCCTCAGGTCCTCCAAGGGCACAGGGTCAGTGTGTGCGAGAGGTGGGGGTTGCCAATTCCAATTTGAGAAAGTCCTGGCAATTGGGGGGGCCCACAGTCTTGGGCGGATGGAATCTGGGGAGGGGGCTTAGCAGGGAACTGACCTTTGTAGTCTGCAGATCAGTTGTAACTCCAGGTCCCGCCTGGAGGATGGCAACCCTAGTGTGAGGGCTGGGGAAACACTTTGCAGCACCGAAAGGAAAAAGTGTTTTGGAGCAGACAAGCATTACAAAAGCCAGATCGGCGGCAGCGCAACATTATACAGAGTTCCTTCATTGAAACCAAATGAAGTTTTAGACAGGAATGATTCGGCCAAATGGGAATTGCTGAGCTGCAGAATGCAAAGGCAGGAGGAGCAAGGAGCAAGGCAAAGCAGCACTACCGGTGCTTTTTTCAACATCATGACCGTGAAAGACCAGGAGTTTTTTTGCAAAAACAAAAAGGGAGAACAAAGTGTGAGTCCAGTGCCACCTTTAAGACCAACACAGTTTCATTCGAGGTATTAGCTTGCGTGTGCATGCACACGATCAGTTCAGAGTGTTCACCAGGGCCTGCAACAAACCAAGATGCCAGCTCTGTCCCCATATTCACCCTGACAGCACAATCACCAGACCTAACAACACCAGCCATACCATCTCTAGTTCATTCACTTGTTCAAGATGTCATAGACCCGCTGTACACTGCATTGGTCAGGCCACACCTGGAGTATTGCCTGCAGTTCTGGAGGCCTCACTTCAAAAGGGATGTGGACAGAATGACGAGATCAAGCCCTGTGAGGAAAGGCTGAGGGACTTGGGAATGTTTAGTCTGGAGAAGAGGAGGTTGAGGGGGGGACAGGAATCAATGTTCCCTCTAAGCTGTGAAGTCTTGTGAGCAAAAATCCTACTTTGTGAGCTACTGGCATTAAAGTTGTGAGCAAGCGATTTGGCTACTGCATAAATTAGTTTGCTCTGGAGCCCTCCTTCCTGAGCTAAGACAAAAATGTGTGAGCTGGAGGCTAAAACACTGCGCTAGCTCACACTAACTCAGCTTCGAGGGGACACTGGACAGGATTGCTCTCGGAGTATTTGAAGGGCTGTCACTTGGAGGAGGGCAGGGAGCTGTTCCTATTGGCAGCAGAGGATAGGACTCAAAATAATGGGTTTAAATTCAAGGAGGGAAGGTATCAGCTGGATATTAGGAAAAACATTTTGACAGTCAGAGTTGTGCAACAGTGGAACCAGCTGCCTAGGGAGGTGGTGAGCTTCCCCTCACAGGCAGTCTTCAAGCAGCGTCTGGACGAACCTTTGTCAGGGATGCTCTAGGGCCAAGGCTGATCCTGCACTGAGCAGGGGGCTGGACTAGATGGTCTACATGGCCCCTTCCAACTCTGTGATCCTATGATTCTATAATCGACAAGGGAGTATGAAAAACAGTTAAATAAAAAATAAAAATACTTTAAATCTATTCCACCTATACACCATATAAGTAAAGGCTTGTTGTAGGTTAAAACTAATAATATAAAAATTCCAATACTGATAAAATAGATACGGTAATTTCCGAACATTGAATTTTTAAAAATGTATTTGATTTGTACCCCACCCTCCCCACCGAAGCAGGCTCTGACATAACATCATACGTAGGCATTTAAGTCTAGTTCATACAAACTATATTGAGAGAATAACAAACTTTCAGCTAAGAGATATTAAATATATACTGAAAAATAAGCATGTTTCCCACATTTCCCCAGTTGTCTAACTGCGCAAAATAGTTCAGGCCTTATATAGACATTTATGCATACATCTTCATAAATTATGTCTAATTCCTCAGTTATGTCCGTAATCGTAGGCTTTCCATTTCTCCTGGAATTCTCTGGTTGGTATTTTGTTTACATAACTCGCTAATTTTGCCATTACAGCACACAGCTAGTTTGTCTTTCCAGGTCTCTATAGTTGGACTCTCTTCCGTTTTCCATTTTATTGCTAGCGTTACTCTAGCCACCATTACTTGAGCAACTGTAAGCATATATCTAAATAAATATTGTTAAGTTCTTTCTTGTGAAGTGTTTTCTGGTAAGATTCCCAGTAAAATAAAATTGGGTTTCATTGGAAATTTAATTTTTAAGATTTTCTGAATTTCAGCAAGTATTTCTTTCCAGTATATCATCATCTTTTTACAAGTCCACCACATATGATAAAAAGTTCCATCCATCTCTTTACATTTCCAGCAAGTCCCTTTATAGTTTTTGTCCATCTTTTCAATGTTTTCTGGGGTAAAATACCAGTAGTATTTTACCCTAATTTTGTACTAATTTTCTCTTAGTGCTTTGACAGGCTGTAATTTTTATGTTTTTTGTCCATAATTCTTCCCAGCACTGAAACTGTATTTCTTCACCAAAGTTCTGCATCCATTTGACTGTACATGTTTTAACTTGTTCTGTCTCTGTGTCATATTGGAGTAGGAGTTTATAAATTCCTCCAAACCTTTTGATTGTAGGATTATCTTTGTAGGATTGTAGGATTTTGATTGTGGAATTATCTTTTCAAATTCAGTGAGGTCTATTCCACCTCTTTCTGCGTAAACGTATTTCTTAAGTCTGGAAGCTAGCTGAAAATAGATTAGCCATTGTATTTTCTTTCCTTCTTTCTTGATTTTTTGCCAAGATTTAATTTCTCCTTGAGAATTTATCGTATCTCCATAAATTATAAAATCATTGTTTCCCCTCACAAGCTTGCTTGTCATAATATACATCTATTGGTGACATTACTAGCAGTATTGAAGGACTGACTATTCTTCTTGTTGTCTCCCATATTCTGAGTGAGCTGTCTCTAGTTATATGACTTGTATGTTGCCTTGTATTTTTTCAAATTGATTTCTTAATCCATAGATGATTATGTAATCCTCCATCCAGATCTGCTGCTTCTAAGGGACACAGGATTCTTATCTCACTGCAGATGCTACTTTTTCTGCCCCCAAACATTTCCCACTAGCATTCTGAGTTCTTCCCTTGGAACACCCCCCCACACACCTTCTGACTGGGATATAAAGATCCAGGGATCTTCATTCCAACTTGTATCTGATGAAGGGAGGTTTGACCCTTGACAATTCATACTCCAAAAAGATTCTTGGACTCACCAAATCTAATCTTAACAGCCAACTCCCTGCCTCTATGTTGGGGATCAAGTCAAAAGGTGGGGATCCCAGGCAAATGATCTAAGATATGCTCCTCAATACTCCTTGTATTTAAAGAAGGACCTTTGTATCGTGTTCTCTAAAATCAGCATCAGACAGGAAGTCCCTGGTGCAAAGGTCACCTCTACCATGAATTGCATGCCTTTAAAGGGGCCGGTCATTTCAGGCCCATTGATCTCCTGTTTGTTTTTCAGAACTGCCCCAGGCATGATTTGCCCTGGGTTCAGTCCCTAAAACCTCTTTGCTGTTCCAGCCACAATGCATCAGAGCATATACAGAGTGCAATTCCTCCGTGCTTTGGGCAGGAGCTTGGGACCAAAACCCTCCTTTTGATCTCTTCTCCTCTGCCACAAACTTGCTAGGTGGCCCTCGGCAAGCCACAATCCACTTGCTCCCCTTTTTGAAATTGGCAGATTGTAAGTGGCCTATCATGTGGGGCGGTGGCTAGAATTCCTGGACTGATGCCTGCAAAGGGCACTGAACCTTCTAAAAGATGAGGGATCCCTATCCTGCCCTAATTTGGCTAATACATAGGGCACAATATGTGTGTGCATGTTTATTAATGTTTGTGTAGGCAATGCATTAATGCTCTGTGATAGCTAATCCCACCCCCCATCCCCCAAGACATCACCAGACCTACAGGGAGGGAACCCAGGAGTCCGCCCTCCCCAGCTGCCTTTTTACAAGAACCTCAACCTGCTTCTACAAAGCACACAAAGACAGAGATTCCAGATAAATTCTGTGGCGCACAGACAGCTTTCCTGTGCGAGAGGGAGATTTTTGCCGGCTCCTTTTTTTTGCCGCAGAAAGTAATAAGGATTGCCTCTGTCCGTGCTGCTGCAGGTTGTTTGCTTGAAATGAGACACCAACCCAGGCTAAGATCCAGAACCTAATGTAGTTTCAAGGAAAGGAATGTTTTTTAAAAGAATCCTCCCTACTCTTCATAACCTTTTAATTGCTAGCTGGCCACTCAGTCCTCCAGGAGGAAAAATGAAGAGGAATTTGAAATGGACCTGAGCTTCAGATGGGTGTAACCCTCTGCCATTTGTGGGTGCAATTCCCACACACACACACACACCGGCATAACATGCTCTGGGTTCAACCCCCAAACCAATTTGCACTACCAGCCATGTTGCACTTGAGCATAAACCGAGGGGGGGGGGAGACTCAGCCCAAGATATGGCTGTGATATATGAGGGCCAAGGTAACAAAATAAGTTATTATTTTTATTTATTTATTTATTTAATTTGTATCCTGCCCTCCCCACCTGGGCAGGCTCAGGGTGGCTTACAGGTTATACACACACACACACACACAAATATAAAGATTGTGTTACTA